TCACCGGTGATTTCTGCCGGTTCATAGGCGCGACCAAACCGGCGGCCCCCCAGGGCGTACTGCTCTGACGACAGCAGCGGCGTGTTGGCCCATTGCCCGCCAGCACCGACGACCAGCGAAGTACGGGGGCCTAGCGGCTGGGAGCGCTCGTAGTCAAAAATGAATTTGCTGAAAACGCCATTGGCGCCAACCCTGCTCTTGAGCAGGTCCGAAGCCTGTGTGCCGCCCAGACCCTGGCTGAAATCAAGGTCCACCGTGTTCTGGCCGTCCATCCGGTCAAGGACACGCCAGCTGAGGCCAAGGCGCAAGGCCCGCACATGATCCTCAACGACCCGCGTGCCCAGAATATCGGTGTGAATATCGGCGTGATCGTAGGTCGCACGCAAGAACAGACTCTCGTTGCGCGTTCTGAGAATGGGGTAGCTGAGGCCCGCCGAGAAAGTGTCTGCATTGCCGTGGACGTCAAACGGTTTGAGCACATCTCCCGGCCGGGTGCGTGCGCTGGAGACGATGGCCGACAGCTTTAAGCCCTCAACGTTGAGTACCTGGCTATACGCGATCTGGCTAAAGGACATTTCAGAATTGCCTGTGCCTGCCGTGGTGAAACGCCACTGGTCGTTGACACCCAACAGCTGGTTTGCCCCCAGCCCCAGGAAAACCTGCCCCGGCCCCAGATATCTGGAGCCATGGTTGTCGATGGCGACAAAGCCCTCGCTTTTTTTAACGGAGGCGACCAGCGTCAGGTCCGCCGCACCAGGCAATTGCGACGGCGCCAGCACGCTGCGCAGTGTTACCCCGGGCAAGTCATTGGCAATCAGCAGGTAACGCTCAAGCACTGCTGCATCAAGGGGTCGCGAGGCCTTTATCTTTTCCCCGGCTTCCACAAGACGTGTCCTGAGGTGCTCACTCACGCCAGCATCTGCCCGAACGCTCACATGCCCGATATAGCCCTCAATCACATTCAGGGTCAGCAGGCCGGACTCCAGTGATTGCTCAGGCACGACGACCATCGACAGGATATAGCCGGCGTTGCGGTACATCGCGGTGAGCGACGAAGCAAGCTCAAGAATGTCGCCGCCGGAAATCTCACGGCCGGTATAACTGTCCGCCTTTGCCTGCAAGACATCACCTGCCAGCACCGTAGCACCGGCCAGCCGTATGGCTTTCAAGGTCACCCGCGCGGACTTCATCGACTCGGGCAGCACATTTCCCTGCGGAATAGCCGTCTCTCGCTGCTCCAGCGGACGCTCCGTTTCAGGAGGCAAATCTATCCGTTCACGCAGGCGCCCCGCGTCGACAGACGGAAGCGGTACGGTCTGTGCCCGCACCTGCATGCCGGCATGAAGGGCCAGCAGCAGCAACCCCCAGCCGCCGCAAAAAACTTTCCCGGACCTGAACCACAACCCGATATCTTTCATGACTGCCCTGAAAACAATATGGACGATGAGCGCCTACGAATCGTGGTTGACAGTTATGAAACCAAACATGCTTTGAAAAATCAGTCAAACCAAATGTCGCAACCAAAGTATGAAAGCTGTTTCAAAAATGAAAAGAGGGGTTGTCGGCGGGTTACATTTCCTGACAGGCTATCAATTCGGCCGTTCATGCGGCTACGTGAATTAATTGAACTATTCAGTCCTAATCTTGTGCATGGACCACAACTTACGACTTACCTCCACGGCGGCACAAGGACTGCTGTTCGCCTGGACAATTGCCAAATTGGTTTCTTTTTGTTGCAAAAATTCCGGTTTACATGGTCCACGAACTGTCAGTGCCCGACAAACCTGGCGCCGGGCCAAAATGTTGCAATCGTGAAAATTCACATATACACAGATATAGACAACCTCTTTGGCGCGGCCTGCCGGATCTGGATGGATGTTTTGCTGGCCGCTGGCCATGAGGTCGAGTACGTGGACCTCGGCACGGGGACAGATGGCGTGCTGCCCGCCGTGGGCATTGCCGACATCAACATGCTGGTCGTCGGCATTTACGCTTTTGAACGGTTCGGCAAACGCGGGCTGCCGCGCGGCAAAAACATCCTATGGATGCTGGACCCCCTGACACGCAAGCGCGAGGCCGCCGTGC